AATTTGCACATATTTTCCATTTAGACAAAAAAAAGCAAAATCAAGAAAATAAAGAAAAGGAAGATGTCTGAGCGCCTCAACTTCCCTCATTTAACGCGGAAGTAAGACATTTCTACTTTTATTTTTCCTCATCCATATTCAAAATACTTCTATACATTATGCTTATTTCACATTTAGTTGACTCGCACATGTCAGAACGATCTTCGCATTTTAAACATCCCGTCAAATTTTTGCATTTTACTATTTGTATATTTAAACAAAAGTAGGATAATCAAATTCATAATAGAGAATTAACTAACAGTTCTAATAGAATTTATAGACTCGCTTTTTGACATTTTATGAAAATAATTACCATTTTTTGAATATAATTAAATTTATAAAATAAATACAAATAAATATATTTATAAAATAAACTAATGCTAATAATTATGCTCGTAAATATATAAACTGAATATATATGAATAAATATTGAAACATAAAATAAATAATTTCTATTATTCGTATACTATATTTTTTAACTACATATTTAGAAATTATTTGTAAACAAATATTAAAAGAGGCAATTTCAATTAAAAAAATTTTTAAACCAAAAAAAGTCTTCAAATAAAAATTGATTTAACTGTTTAAGTTTTTAAAAAGAAGACAAAAAACTATTCTATAAGTGCTAAGTTTAATTAGCGATATACAAGCAGAATTATTTAATTATAATGAGAAAAGGGTGTGTTCCATTCTATTTTCGATCGTATTACAATTTTCCTAATTTGATTCCTCGCTAGATAAGCATACTTATATCAGATTCACTAAAAACCAGAACTCCTTAAAAGCTGCAATGAAAAATAACGTATATATAGATCGATCTCAACTGCTTCATGCAATAACAGTGACAAAATTGACTTTAAAATGTTTTTGTTGCTTTTTTTATTTTCAACCTGATTGTGAGTGCAGACTGCTTGTCGACGGTGATTATATATAACCTTGTCGCAAACGTAACTGATAAAATTTACATTAATTCCAAGAACATCCATTACGCACTCCTAGTTCAAATTACATATCACTAGACTTTTTTGCACTCATTATTTTATGTAATGAACATTTTTAATTATAATCAACTATTCACATTTATAACTTCAATTCTTATTGCAATTTTTTATTACTTAGTTTAATTAAGTAGTTTTATTTTTTTCACTACAGTTATAGGATTAAAAAGCTATTATTTTTATTATATAATAATTATTATAATAATAATTAATAATGAAATCAGTTTGCAATTCTTATTGCAATTTTTTATTACTTAGTTTAATTAAGTAGTTTTATTTTTTTCACTACAGTTATAGGATTAAAAAGCTATTATTTTTATTATATAATAACTATTATAATAATAATTAATAATGAAATCAGTAAAAACATTTAAATAAATTAACAAATAAAAGATTGCACTTTCAATGATATTAATTATAAAAAATAATTAGTTAACTATTGTTATGAATTAATAATTATATAAATTGTTTAATTAATTATATAATAATTTTAATTCAAGTCAATATATCAGAATTATTGTTGGAAATGTACTGCAAACTATAATCATAAACTCAGAGACATAATTGGAACGTCCTTCAAAATGATTTTAAATCATTCACGTAAAATGGATTTATTTTCTCGAAAAATTAAAGACTGGAAAAATAATTACAAGACAGATGTTTTCTTTTACTTGTAGGAATCTAATTATATATATATATATATATATATATATATATTTTAATTAAAATATAGGTATTATATTATATTATATTATTATTATATTATATATTATATTATTATTTATATTATATTTATATTTTATTTATTTTTTTATCTAATTTTATATCATCTAATTTTTAGATATATTTCAAGCTTATATAGCGACTATTGGATTCAATTGTTTATTTACAATAATTACGAATACTGTGTTACATAAATTGAAAAATGAGGAAAACATTTTAAATGGCAGTGTTTTGTAACATTTTGTACTCACTGCAAAGAAGATTTAAGCGAATTGAGTTTGAGAAGTGCCAATGAACCTAGCGACATAAGAGGTCAATGCGACAAATTAACCCTTCTTCAGTTTAATCATTACGCAATAAACAAACAATTGTTCGTACAAAACGAGATGTAAATTGAACTCAATATTTTTTAATGTAAAATCTATAATAGTCCATTTTAATAAATCGTGATTTCGGAATTTTTTTTGTAATTATGTACTATTTTATCTGATTTTTGTTTTCTCTATTTTTAATAATGTTATTAGTATTACTATTTTTAATATACATTTTATAATATTTTCTTCTTTATATTTTACTTTACTTAATATTAATTATTAATTAAAATAGCATTTTACGCTTCCCATCTTGTCAGAAAATTTCCACTCCTCCAATGCATTATAATTGAATTTTACCTTATAATTTTTTAAAGACCACAAGCTCAAAATATTTCACTCTTAAAATATTAAAATTAATACCATTTACTGTGAAAAACGTTACAGATAGAAGATAGATATCACAATTTGACACAAAAAAATGTTTTTAATCAAAAAAAGAAGTAGTTTAATAATTCAAGAACCGATTAAAATTTCATAAAGCTACGAAATTGATTTCTGATAAATAGAGTTTTGAAAAGTTATTTTTCTCTCGAAAAAAACTCGTTTTACTGGAATATTTTATAAATCGATAATTTTAGTTGAATTGAACAAGAGTGTATTGAAACTAGTTTTTTTCATAATTTTGTATTAATTAAAAGAAACATAATTTTTTCAATCATTAAAAGAATAGTTAACTCTTGAAAATTATAAACTGGGTTTAATATTCTGTCCTAAGTGCTTTTATGTAGGTCAATGAAAAAAATTAATATTATCCGCAAACATAAAGATGGAGGAATTTATTTTTTTTAAATTCACTTTCACGGTTTTAGAATAAATAAAAATAAAATACTTTTTGTCGAAATAAAACAATTCGAAATTTATATAAAATTCTTAGTACTATAGACATTTAAATTAACAAATGAACATAGCGTCACAATATAAAAAAATTCAAAATATAATTAGTAGTAACATTAACCCAATGTTACAAATTGTGTCATTAAAACTAAACTAATTGTCCGACAGATATCGAGAACACTCTTTGTTCACATACAAAATAAAAGAATCTTGGTTTTAGAATAATTAGTACATAAAAATATTTAGTACCGTTAACATTTAATTTCAAAAATTAAGTCCTTGCTGATAACTGGGTGCCAGTTTTAGCTTCATATTTTGACCCCAGAGAAAATGCTCCTTATGGAATGGAATTTCTTGTAAATTTTGTATTGTTTGTTTTGTTTTTTGTAATTTCTTGACCAAATTTTTCATTCCGTCAAAAAACAAAAGGCGATATTTTTTGTTAATAAAAAAAGAAGAAAATGACATACAATAAAGTTACTTTGCGTTAAATATGAACATTCTAGCAAAAAACAATTTTTGCTAGAAGAAGAAGTTGTAGAAGTTATACTTCTACGTATAAGCCAGCTATGTTGCACTGTCTAGGGTTAATTTAAAAAAATTATCAATATTTATTATGAGGTTAAGAAAAATTTTGATTTCGTTTACGTTACTACAGTATTTTCGCTTCCTGGCTGCAAATTGACGAAACTGATGACTGGATAAATGCTAGATTAACTCTTATCGGCAAAATTTATAGAATCCAACCTCAAATTTAAATATTTGATCAATCTCTAATTTCTTTTCACAATTTTAACTCAATAGATACTTTTACTTAATTTACTTTCTTGTTGCGTTCAATTTAAATCTAACACCATTATAAGAATGTATCTTTTAAGAATGTTTTTTCACACTTTAAGATCCTTAAAATGAAATGCAATTAGACCCGGGTTAAAAAATTTTTTTGGTCTTAAGATCCCTTTTTTTAGACGCGGTCACATATTATTTTGTTTTATTATAGAAAATTATATTGTTAATATGATCGTTCAAAAAACAAAGGCTATAACCAACAAAATTACTCGCAAAAAACGAATTTCTCGGGTCGGAATAAAAGATTAAGCTTATTGAAAAGTTAATGTAATATAGTTTTTGATAATGATTCTCCGAAATATAATTATTCAAATTTGAGTGTAATAAAAGTCTTATTCAAATTACAATGTATTAAAAGTATTATTCACATCAATTCAATTGTTTTTTCCCCACATTTGAATAAGACTTTTACTATATTGGAATTTCAATAAGACTTAATATACACGGAAGTTTGGATAGGAATTATATTTCAGAGAATCATGAATAAGAACTATATTACATTAATTTTTCAATAAGCATTATACGAATGGGAGGCGACAATATGATAGTAGTACTTTACTAATACATATTTAGAAAGTTATATTATATTATTAAATTATATTGGAACTTTGGGTCAACATTGATCAAATATTTAAATAAGAGGCTTCAATTTAGTCTAGACATTAACACTCTTAGGCAAATATTGGCGACAATAATTGGGCCAATATTCAATAAATCGTAAGCCTTGGAAAATTCTCCTAATTTGGAATTTAGAATTACAACTTTCAACTTTACTACATTTGTTAATTTATCAAGAAAGCAATTTTAAAAGATTAATAACTAAATGTAGATTATAAAATAGCGTATTCACGTAAGACAAGAATCAACTGCAGTCAAAAGTTAAACTCGATTTGAAGACCCCTAAAATCAGTCAAGGGACATTACCAGCAATTCTTAAGAAATCTTCATCCTGTTTTACAGGACAACTCCCACGGTGGATTCAGTAATTAATCATATTTCAATAGCAATTGAAATACGTTAGAAACGAACCTTATCTTCATCCTTTTTTACAGGACAACCCTAACAACTCTATTCGCCCAGAGCAAGGCTCTAATAACAAGTATAAATACCAAAATATTTTGTGCCTGAAAACATGAGATAAAAAACATTATTGTGACGCTATGTTACTGACTTGATGACTTACCCCAACTGCTGATAATGCTGCCACGTAGACACCTGAAACAAAAGTGTGAATTAAAATTAGTACTTTTTCTAATTACTTTTTTAATTACTATTTTTAATTACTTTTTTAATTACATTTTCCAATTACTATTTCAATCCATTTAAGTGATAATATTTTTATTTATTCCTTAAATTACTCCATAGAAAAGATTTGCTAGACAATACCTTTGCCCATTTTATTCCAGACTTAAACCAAAAGTTACAATCATTAATAAACAATTTTCTCAAAATTTATCCGTCATCAAAAGTCTCCCCTAGATAAAGGTTTCGAATAAAACTAGATTTTGCTACTTGCATATTTTACATGTATACAGAACAGTAAAATTTCTTTCAAAGAAATTTCCTTATGTATACAAAAGAAGAAGAAGATAATAATGAAAAATTATCATTACATTCGTGTGGTGGTCTATGACGATCTGGTGGAAGCTGTAGACCGAAATACGCTTGCACGGTTAATTCTTACCAATACTTGTACAGAAATTGTGCATGTGTAAAAGACCAACACTGGCCAAGGTGGTCGCGCTATTTCAAGCAAACCAGGCAGTGCCATATAGTAGCACAGGGACGTACGAAACGCTCGGTTTACCCCAACTCGCTATTTACTTTCATCTTATCGTCGCCAAGAGGGAAAGGGATGCTTAATAACTGTTGGACTAACGACTACTCGAATTTGTCGCTTTCTAATGAACACTCGTTACATCACATTTACCAGCAACTGGTTTATCACTTTACATATCAAATCCCAACCATATCCATAACTAATCTTATTCCTTCGAAAATTTCAGCCATACTAAACTTATTCTCTTCTTCTACATAATTGCAATTTTCTAATTATCATTCCTAATTAACAAAATATATTCATCAGGGTTGCCGCAAAATTTTATTTTGTTTTTCCCTAACTTTTCCCTGATTTCACTCTAAAAATACTCAAAAAAAATGTTCTATTACATTTATTTACGAATATCTTCAATTGTAAAATTATTCGAAAATATCAAAAGTATTTTCTAAATAAATATAAAATCATTATTATTTTTTAATAGGAATTAAGGGGAGACCCCACCTTTATTTTGACCCCTTTAAAATAAAATTATTAAACGAGGTAATATTTTTTTTTCTTGCATCAGTTTTAAGCTGAAAACATAGAAGTTGGTCAAAAATATTTAATTTCAATTTTTGAAAAGGTTAGAATTATTTTCTTTTCACCTATTGCATGTTATTGCAAATCCATGCGAGAAGTTGTTTAGAATTTTAAAATATGCATGGAAAAAAATTGTCGTTAAAAAATATTAAAAACTGTAAGAGGAGATCGATTTTTAATATTCAAATCTTTAAATTTTGCCGAAATTTCGAAAATCTTTAATTTTTTCCAATTTGATTCTCTGGGTCGAAAAAACATATTTAAAATTGACGTTTAGCTCATTTTGATAGTAAAAACTACAAAAATTATGTCTTTTTGCATTCATCTCGGTACATATAAAGTAGACCAAAAAAGCTTTAGACTATGATTTTTATGGTTCTTACCAGGAAAATGAGCTAAACGTCAATATTAACAATTCTTTCTAAATCAGTGCATTAAATTACGTAAGTATAAACAGTTTGGAAAAAAATTAAAGGTTTAAGGCTTTCGAAATTTCGGCAAAACTTAAAGATTTGAATATTAAAAATCGATCTTCTCTTACAGTTTTTAATATTTTTTAACGCCAATTTTTTCCCATGCATATTTTACAATTCTAAACAACTTCTTGCATGGATTTGCAATAATAATATGCAATAGGTGAACAGAAAAAAATTCTAACCTTTTCAAAAATTGAAATTAAATATTTTTGACTCTCTTATATGTTTTCAAGTTAAAAATGATGCGAGAAAAAAATATTACCTCGTTTAATAATTTAATTTTAAAGGAGCCAAAATAAAGGCGAGGTCTCCCCTTAATATTAAATTGTTATCTAAAATTTTACCTAAAAATTGAATTCCTGTGAAATTTTTATTATTTATGAAAATAATTAAATGTTTGCGTAGAATTTCATTAAACATTTTTAAAAAAATTGAATTTTGAAGAAGAATTTTATTATTTATAAAGATAATTGGAATTTTGACTATCAGTATAAATTTTTGAACATAATTGAATTCTGTTAAAGAATTTTATTAACATTTTTAAGAATTTTTCGAGGAATTAGATTAGAATTCAATTAAAAATAAATGAAATTTTGCAATAAGTTTTATTTTTTATGAAATTAATTCCTTTGCAGGATGTATGTATACTTATAAATTTTAAGTTTTACTTTCATGTAATAAAATTTGGTATGTTTTTAAATGTTTAATTATTGAAATTCTGTACAAATGCTTTTTTTAAAAATTGAGATCATGTAAAGTTTCTTTTCAAAATTTTAAATCAATTTTTCACCTAAAAAAGACACCAACATTGGTGTCGAAACTATTAATAATCCAATAGGTAAATACATTTATCTACTAGTGATTCCTAAAAATTATTATTTATTTAAATCCTAAAAAACTGAATGTACGAGTTTATATTTGCTATATTTATAATTACAACCAAAGACCTATATTTTAATAAATTATAAAGCACTGCGGTTTGGAAAAATTATTTTCCAACAAGCTTGAAAATTGCTTTTAGTAAAAGGAGAAGTAGCTGTGAAGGAAAGCTTTTTCGTATTCGGAACACGATGACTGTGACGATTTGAGTTCAACAACACTTGTAAAACGAACCCCGGTTAACTGAGGTGTATAATTCGCCGACCTGCACCCACGAGATTAATCTCCTTTCGCGTAAAGGAGAAAATTAAATCAGCAGTTTTGGAACAAGAATTATTTATATCGTTTATAATAGTTTGTATTAATAAGGCACTGTATGCCTCTATTCTAAATGGTCATAAGAGAGATCTTAGCGTTTGCGTTCTAATAATTAGAATACACACTAGTCTAGTTATTAAAGTTCATATACCACTACCAGTGGTATGTATATCCATTAGTATAGTGAATAAGGTAACCACTTGTAAAGAAAAAATTCAAGAGGACTTTAATTATAAAAAATGATTTTTAGAAGCAAAATATAGCAGATTTAAAAAATTGAAAGTCATCCAGATTTACTTGAAACTTGGTACTTGAGGGTTTTTGAGGTCGCTGATTACGATTTTAAAAATTAAAATACGATCCAATCTGGATATTTAGAAATTGATCGGATTTACTTAAAACTTTTTACTTGGGCTTTTTTAAAATCTTTGATTACAAATTTGATGATACATTTTATTCTAAATTTTGAAACTTAAAATAATAATATAATTTGCTTTAAAATTTATAGACGGTAGATAGTAATCTTTATATACCAAAAAAACATCTTTAAGCATAGAAAATCGATTAAATAAATTAATAGTAAAAATAAACAAACATCAAGTAATATTAAAAATAAAAAAATATAAGGAAAATAAATGTAGATATTCACTTCCAAAATAAATACTTCACAGAAGAAATATGAACAGTTTTCGAAAATTCGACTTCTGAATTATTAAGAGGCTACAAATAGAGAAAAATTCAAGGTTAGACGATTAAGATCTTGGGAAATATTCTGCTGAATCATCATATAAATAAATTATCGCCATTTTCGTCTGATTCTTGTTATATATATATATAAAAAGAGAGAGAGAAGCAAAAAACCAACAACACTTTTGTGGACGGAACTTTATTGGTCTCTCGTGGTATTCACTTGTGCATGAGACGAATAAAATTTGACCTGAATAACAGAGACGATGAGAGCGGTAATACGCAGACGTTCTGCAGTCTAATCGTAAGGGTGAGAACACACGGAAATGAAATGCTTTATTCGCTAAAGACAGATTGAGCAGTCACCCTAAATTCACACCAGTGCTACCATTTCCATAAACCTGCTCTCATATACATATAGCTCCCGAATAACGTGAATTGTACAATCAGGACCTGAATTTCTAGAGTAGATGATAATTCTCTCTCTCTCTCTCTCCTGAATGTAATTTACAAGCTGAACGTGGACACTGACACATCCCAATGGAGAATATTGCAGGCACAAACCGTACATCATTATGTACTTTCAAAACATAACACAAATTTCTCATATGTATGGAAATTCACGAAATAATTTGTTAATACGTTCTTAGTCAAATAAGGAAATTATAATTATCATTATTATTTTATTATTAAAAAAACCAGTAAAAAATCATCTTAAACTATTCAAAATACAAAATTTAATTTGTAATTTTTTACAGTCCCTATAAAGTTAAGAACGTTAAAATGAACGAAATTTGGGTGATTCTCCGCGTAGCGCACGATTTGGTTTATAAAATTAAAAAAAAAAATTTTTATCGTTATGATTATTATCAATATATTTTTTTGAAGATAAAGGCTTCAGAAAGAAAAATCCATAGCCGGCCGGAAAAATTGTTTATAATTTTTGTTGTAAACAAGTATAGTAATTAACAAATTCACTGTTTAAACAAATTCTGTCAAAAAAATTTTTTGCGGTAATTTAAACAATATTATAGCGTAAATCTCATTTAAAAATTAATATTTCGGTAATTTATGGAAGTTTATGGAAATTTTCGCGATAATTCATAAAAATATGTAAAGTTTAAATTATTATTACAAATTTGGAATTTGGTAATTTATGGAAATTTATAAGGTAATTTCAAGAAATTTTGTCGGTAATTTTTAAAAATATGCAAAGTTGAAATCACAATTGACAATATATATGTTACGGTCAATGTCCGGAATCGGGCAATGCCTGACAATGCACGGGCATTGTCGACATTGCCCACAACCACTGGGCATTATCGACAATGACCATCGATTTCGGTCAATGTCCGAAATAATTTATATTATGAAGTTTTTTCGGGCAATGTCGACAATGCCCGGTCCAGTTTGGGCAATGTCAATAATTAATTTTTTAATTTAATTTAAATTCATTTTAATCGAAATGTACCGACTAGTTATAAATAAAATGTCTCGTAAATTGTAATATTATTTCGTTTACAATAGATTGAGTCTCACATTTTGTAATAATTGCTCTCAGGAATAATAATATAAATATAAAGAATAGCTTTTATTTGTTTACAATCATTTGTAATTTGAATGACGATTCTGTGATTCCCTATGCAAGTTTGGTGCTTTTAATGTGTAAAAAACAAAACAATTAATTCTCAAATTAGTTTCTCTCTTATTAATTTACTTAGGAGAGTTTGTTGTTGCGTTTTACTAATATTGAGTAAAGTTTCGATTTGATTTTTATGTAAATAATACAATTTTATAAAAAGGCCAGACCATGACGCGAAAACGGGGAACAATTTTTTTATATACATCGTACTGGGGACAGGCCTTATCATGACGTTTTAGCACCTTAAACAGCTTTTAAAGCTAAATTATAAATTTTTAAATGTAAACGACTATTGGCTTTTGTTTGTAAACACAGAAATTAGTTTTTCTCCTTGAATTCATTGCTTGCAATATGTGAAAAAAATTTCTTAAAAAATACGAGGGACATTGAATTGTGCACTACGCGGAGAATCACCCATGTACCAATTATTGCACTTTCAAATATTTTAGTCAATTTATTAATTTATTCCAATAACTTAATGTTATAAATTTTAAATCGTTAAATTATTAACAATATGGTTATAAAATGTGATGTTTTGAATTTTTTTTAATAAATTATGAAACTTAGAACTAATAAATAACCCCAATATTAATGCTCTATTAACAAAAAAATATCACTCACGTTGTCACTGGCCATTTTTACCAATGATTTAATACTTTAAAAGTCTGTTTTTAATAGTATAATTAATTTAATCCTTAATGTAAACAACATTGCCCAAAAATGAATGGGCAATGTCAACAATGCCCGGGCACTGTCGTCATTGCCCGGGCATTAACACGCTTTACTGAATATTATTGAAAATGTATGGGCAATGTCGACAATGCCCGGGCATTGACCGTAACATATATATATATATATATATATATATAGAAGGAGTTTACACCGTAAGCCTTAAATATAAGCCTCCGCGCGCATAAACGGATATACCTCCAGGAGCATATATTTGCGCCTGCGCGAACACGTGGTCAAGGCAAACTCTTTCACAACACAGCTGCAGGCAAACACTTTGCGCAGACGCAAGTATATCCTCATGGAGGCATATCCGTTTATGCTCGCGGAGGCTTATATTTAAGGCTTACGGTGTAAACTCCTTCATATATATATATATATATTTATTGATCAATTAAATCACAATTTTTATTTCGGTAATTTATGGAAATTTATGGAAAAAAAATAATATAGGGTAAGTGCGGGTATAGTCGGACAGTACTAGTAGTCGGACACTTTCGTGTTTTTTGGCAAATAAATAATAATGCATTGTGATAATTACTTTAAAAAGTATACTAGACGAATGTGTGAAGTTTATATTTTATTAAAATAGTGTTATTTTCGAAAATAATTAAACAAGAAATATTTTATTTAATGTTTTAAAAATCATGGTGTCCGACTATAGATACAACCATTTTCGAGTAGCGCAATGAGTAGCACAAAGTTTTGTTGATAATTAATCATAAATATTAAAACTTATAGGGTTTAAATATTATATTAATAACTTCTAATATGCTTTAATTCCATTTTCCAGCAGATAGCAATTAAAAAATTATCTTTTTTACTTTATAAATTCAAAATATCTGACAGATGTCCGACTATAGAAACAAGGGGAAAAAGTGTCCGACTACTAAAGCATTTGTAATTTTTTATTAAAATGTTTATATTTTATTAAATACTCAACTATTTGTAACAAATTTATATGATTTTTAATCCTGAAGAACTCCTTTAATTAATAATGTGCTTATAAACACAGAAGATATTTGCTATTTTAAGAAAAAAACCATAATTTAAGATTGTATCCTTAAGTGTCCGACTACTAGTGCATTTACCCTAAACAGATTTTTGAGCAAAATTATAAACTTTTAAATGAAAACGTCAATAGATTTTTATTTGTTATCGTGAAAATAAGTTATTCACGTTGAATTTATTACAATATATAAAACTGATTTCTTCAAAAACACGAGAGACATTAAATTCTGCGCTACGCGGAGAATCACCCAAATATATTTAAAAATACAGTTTTTAAAGGCTTAATTTCATCTTTGCTTTTTATTGTAGTCACATTGACCCCTTTTTTTAAAAAAAAAATTCCCGGTCAATTCCATGAATTATTTTTCCCGGCCATAAAAAAACTCTGAAAAATTATTTTCAATATTTCAATTCAATAATTATTTTCTAGAAATTTTTACTAAAATTTTCCTCTAATTCAATTATTTTTAATATTTTTTAAGAAAGTTCAATAAAAATTCAATTATTTCAAAAAAATTTCACCTGCAATTAAATATTTCTAAAATCCACTGTTTACAAGACAATTTAATGAAATTTCGAATCATTTGATAATTTTTCAATTAAATATAAACAGAAAAAATTTTTTACCTAAAACAAGACTGTAAATTCCGCTTAGACGCAGTTTATTAAATTTACTATGTAATTTATTAATTTATTTATTTTTTTATATTTCCTTTTGTTTTATTATACCAACCCCACATAACCTTGGAGTGCGGAATCCAAGGTATCTGTAGGCAGATTTCCCAAAATTCCCTAAGCAAAAAAAAAAAAAATAATAATAATACAAACACTTATAATAAATATAAAGATAAATATAATAACAAATATGGAAATTAATTCAAACCTTAAACTCGTTTGTGGCCTGTCCTCCATCTCAAAGTTGTTGCTCTCAATGAATTTGTCTAATGTTTTCACTCTTGTTAATGATACTGGCAAAAACTACACGCACTCACTCGAATTATAAAAAATACAAACACTTCAAAAGGCATACCTATATAAACTAAAAAAGAAGAATTGAATACTTTCCCTACAAACGATCGCGATTTTAAGGAAATTCGAACACTCCCGAAGCTATATTTAAATAATACACCCAGAGAAAAAATTTTATTTCAACCAAATATAATTTATTTTATTTAAATATAAAAGTACATTTTTCTCAAATAAATACTAAATTATTTATTTCCTCAATTGCACAGAATATTTCATTCACATTTCTAAAATATTCCTCTGGAAAATTCCATTTTAAAATGTTCAACCATTCGAATGTTTCATCGGAATAATGTAGGAATATTCCATCAAAATGTTGTGGAAATATTCCATATTGTAATTTTGTAAAAATATATTTTTATTATTATTATTATTGATGATGATGATATACTAATCAATTTCTGCGCCATTTAAATAAATTCATCAATTTATTTTGAACTGAAAAAATTGTATATAAAAAATAATATTCCGATGATAAAAAATGATAATAATCAAAAGGAATAATCCTACATTATATTCCTGATAAACTTTCCCAATGTTCTAATGGAATATTCCAGGAATGTGAATGCAATATTCTGTGCCGTGGTTGTTTTAAAATAAAAATTTTATTCAGCACAAATACCTAAAATTTTTATTTTAAACAAATAAAAAGTTTAGTAGCTTCTAAGTCAAATAAATCTTTTTTTCCGGGGGTTCTTTTAAAATAATCAAAAAAGAAGAAATAATAAGAAATAGTAATTCTCAACATTCGAGGTAAAATATTAATTAACACGCGTGACGATATAAATGAATACAAACGGATCGATTTACGAGACTGATGATTTTAAAGGAGTTTCAGCATAAAGTTTCCTCTATACTGTTTTTACGACTTACGACTAAAGTTTTGCCCTTAGTTCGAACCTGAAAACAAACACAAAACTATTGTCAATAAATTTGTAACAGCACGACATATTTTTTATTTTTACACATATTCTGCTTTTTCTCTTTTCAATAGTAAAATTATGCAACAGAAATTACAAAACTTAATTGATTAGTACACTGAGAAAACTGGAGTGTCAAATTCGGAGGTTCAAAAAGTGTAGGTTTTCTTTGCTTATGAAGAGAGTTAAATAGTCCTTCTAAAATAAATTTTGAATTGATAATGGAAATCTACTTGTATATTCTCTCCCATTATATCTGAGGGTTAAAAGTTGCGCAGAAAATGTGTACGATCTGATGCGCGCGAAATTATTTTTCTGACATTTTATGTATTTAATTTAGGGGTTAGGTTGCCATATTTATTCATTTCGCGCCGGATAAGGAAGGGATTTCTCAAGATGGTTAATTTTTCCCTCTGTTATAAACTCATTTTCCCTCCAAGAGAAATGGCACGAATATCTGTCAATGGTGTATTTGAACATTTAGATTGTTATCCAATAGCTAACTCTCAAATATCAACGATTTGTCCCTCCAGATGTTTAGTCCAATACTCCAGTTTTCTCAGAGTAATTAATTAAAAAATAATTAATTAAATTGACAATGCAAATTTACAAAACTGCAAAATGTTTCAATTTTGAAATGTAAAAGGAAATATTAAAAACTGAATTTATCTGTTTTATTGAAAATTATTTAAATAATTAATTAATTAATATTCATCAATTTATAATTAATTTGTAATTTACAAATTATCAAAAACTAGTTATTTTAAATAATTAAAATAGTAGGGGAAAGGTGTACAAGATGATCCCCTGGGGCAAGATGATCCTTTTGAATTTTGGCGAGCCTATTAGCGCCACTTATTAGGCAAATACGGTAATACGTTGCCAATGACATATCTATGAATCAGTCAAACTGTCATGACAACACGCGTCATTAAAAAAATTCTATTGGAAAAAATAAAAATTTCATATTTTTGATCTAAGGAAAGCTTAACTTTGGGCTTAGATAACTTTTGTTGTAGTAGCTGAAATTCCATGTTTCTTGTACTCACGGCTTCAGTATATCTTCAACTAAGTGTTCTGATTGGTTTTATGGAATAACAGAGCTTGTAGGTTAAGTTACGAACAAATTACAAAATAGTGGCATTTGGGGCAAGATGATCCCTCAATGGGTGTACAAGATGATCCCCCCTGATTCCAATGTATTTCGCCTCACCTCAAAGTGAATTTTCTAGTATTAATAAAAAATTCAATTTTTCCCGCTTCTTATATGTTTTTATTATAAAAACTAACTTATCTAAAATAAAAAATTGACATCTACATCTATTTTATTAATTTTCTCGTTGTAGACAATGCCTCGTAATTATAAAATAGGAAAACGAATCGTGGTGAGTGGTCAAAAGCGTTTATGGTCTAAATAAAGTATATTTAATAGTGATACACTGTTATTCCTTCAATTTAGACTCATTTTCCAATAATTGGGGTAAGATAACCCTACGGATCATCTTGTCCATACCATGGGGATCATCTTGGACACCCCGGTGTCCAAGATGATCCTTTTGTAAGGTTTTAGAAAAATTAAATTTAATAGTAAAATATTAATTAGCTGCAAATATTTCAAATCAGAATAGTTAGATAGATTAATTATCTAGTAGTGCGTACAAAACAAACTCAAAAATGCTGATTTTTCTTTGAATAATAGGTTTTTTCCCTTAGAGGGATCATCTCGTACACCTTTCCTCTATATTAAGCAACAAGAGGATAAAGGCAGCCATTTCTTTACGGTGATTTTTGTGACACGAGTGGAGGTCGAGGGCGCCCCGAGACCGGAACAAGTGTCACAAAAATCATCGTAAACAAATTGGCTGACTTTATTCTTGTGTTACTTACGATATTTTTTATTCCAAAGGCACAAAAGTGGCGATTTCAGATAGCAGACGACAGGGAGTAAAAGTCATTCACTTGTTCGATTTGTATGAAAATGGCGGCCGTTTTCTCCCTTGGGCAAGAAAAATGCATGTGAACAGCTAATTTTCTTGCCCTTGGGAGAACACGGCCGCCATTTTCATACGGTCGAAGAAATGAATGACTTTCCTCCCTGTCGTCTGCCATCAGAAAGCGCCGTTTTTGTGCATGTGGGATAAAAAATATATTATATATATATATATATATGTATATATTGTGTATTCCCAACGGGAAGTTGCCAATGTTAACGATTGGTTCAATAATGGGCCATGCTTGGTACCCAATGGTTTTTTCTTGGCAAAACAATTGGCAACCATCGTTGGACCACCAATGGTTTAAACTTGGGATGATCACGCTACTGCCAATGATCGGTAGCCAAGCATCGGGCCAATATTATTTGCCAAGGAATTGCCAAGGAGACAAAATCGATTTTCAAAAGCTTGATTTTTTATTGGCAGCCAACAAAAAACCAAGGTTTTGAAAATTGATTTTTTTTAATTATTAATTAAAATTTATTTTTAAAAAATATATTTTTCAAAAAATTATTTTAAAAAAAAATATATTTTTTAAAAATATATATTTTTTTAAATTAATAGAACATATTAATTTAATTTGTCACCTCTGGTAAAACAAAGATGAAAGACTGATAAATTCCCTCACTTTATATTTTACAGTGGAGGGATGACTGTGAATGTCTTTGCGAGAGAGGAGCAGGTACTTATATAGAGCCAGTGAGAAAGGTCACAAGCGAGAACAAATCACTAGCATGCACTCTGGCGGCGCTTGTCGGAAGTGGCGCAACGTTGGTTGCCAAGCGCTGCGTCGATAATGTCAGGATATGCATGCGCGCCAGAAAACAGTTCCGACAAGCGCCGCCAGAGTGCATGCTAGTGATTTCTTCTCGCTTGTGACCTGTTTCACTGGCTCTATATAAGTACCTGCTCCTCTCTCGCAAAGACATTCACAGTTATCCCTCCACTGTAAAATATAAAGTGAGGGAATTTATCAGTCTTTCATCTTTGTTTTACCAGAGGTGACAAATTAAATTAATATGTTCTATTAATTTAAAAAAATATATTTTTTTTTTAAATAATTTTTTGAAAAATATATTTTTTAAAAATAAATTTTAATTAATAATTAAGAAAAATCAATTTTCAAAACCTTTGTTTTTTGTTGGCTGCCAATAAAAAATCAAGCTTTTGAAAATCGATTTTGTTTCCTTGGCAATTTCTTGGCAACTAATATTGGCCCGATGCTTGGCTACCGATCATTGGCAGTAGCGTGATCATCCCAAGTTTAAACCATTGGTGGTCCAATGATGGTTGCCATTAATGTTCCAATAATGGAACGGAGTTCGCCAAGCATGGCCCATTATTGAACCAATCGTTTACTTCCCATTGGGTTATGTATATTATATATTATGTAAATTACAATTTATATTTAAAAATATAACTAAATTATACAATTCCAAAGAGAAAAGGGACAGAAAACAAGAAGTTGTAGTCTACCTCAAAGTTTTCGTATTTTTTCGATAAAAATGAAATTTATATAATAATTAAAAAGTGTTTCAGAGAAAGCATTAAAAAACTTTCTTAAAAAAAGAAGAATTTTGTCATTTTTATTATAAAAACCATTATAACAATTTCAAAATGAGATTGTTATTTATTGTATACATATATATAGAAAAGAATAGTAAGTTTATTTTATATATGTATAAGCCATTGTATAACAATACACTTACAAATTTAAATGTAATTTCTTTATGTACAATGTCCTTCGGAAATGAATTAGGCTAATTTTTCTCAACAACAAGTCTATACAAACTAAAAGAGGTTCAAATTATGTGCATGTTAAATGAATCAAGCGGTCTCTCTTAAAGGCTGGTCAACTTTGTCGCGTGACCGTAATTTTAACACGATAACAATAAATAAAAGAAACTTTATTTCAATGCATTAGATCACATTAAGCTAAACAAGCATGGTCAATGAAGTTGTTAATTTATTTCAAATTCATTGACCACTTACAGAATTATTTATTTTCAAAATAAATTTCACTCCATAAATTTATTCCTTAATCATTTTTACTACAGAAAAACTGAAAATCAATTCTTTATATTCATTACTATTGTATTGTAAATAATTATATAATTTATAATTATAAATAATTCTTTAAATCTAATAATTTATATAATTGTAATGAATTATAATTTATAAATATACCCAATTAATTATAATTAATTATAATTATTTTTAATAAACTAATTAAAAAATAACGCGAGTTTAAATTTTTTAAATTTTTCTAATAAAGAAACGATTTTGGTTTTCATTCATGATTTAGGTGATTCGTATATTATAAAAATTAATGGTAAGCGGAAATTAGTCATGTAAATTTCTAAGAGACGACTTGCAAAATTTCATTTTCCCTCGGTATAAAATCGTGAGAATAAGCACGTGATGAATCACAGTCGGAGAAATGAGCCTAAAGTACTAAAACTCCAAGTATATATATGTATAAAGTTTGTAGGAAACATCGACTTCCTCCGAAAAAAGACAAAAAAAACGAAAAAAAGATTTTTTTTTGCATAATTTTCATCCATATAAATCTTCATTAACTAATTAAATCTATAATGTTATCAGTTATTAATTGATTTATTTCTACTATTTAGTTAACTCTACTAATTATTTTTATTTCTAATATTAACTTTATATTTATCTCTAGTACTTTAAAATATTAAAAAATTATCATCAGTTATTACTTGAATGGAATTATTTCCTTAGGTATTGAAAAAAATGTTGTAAATAAAATCTAACTGTAAGTGAAAAGCAATTGTAATACTTTTTTAAAATTTTCGTTCAAAATGACCGAAATTAGTAGAAATTTTATTTTTACTATTTTCTAATGAAAAATGAATAGAAACAAACGAAATTTTTTCTAAATTTTAGTAGAATTTCATTATTTTATTTAGTATAGTTAAACAATTTTTTTGTAAAGTTTCAATTAAAAAATACTAAAATTAGT